CCAATGTCACCCCAATAAATTCAATTAAAAAAAAAAGACTAATAAACCGAGAGCAAACAAGCAGCTGTTAATGGTGGGTGAGTGGGTGGCCTCGCGTCTGTGCCGGAGGCATCAACAATCCGTGGCTTCACCAGTGGGAGAGCTCCGGACGTGGGAGCTCACAGTGAGGCCGCGGTTGCTTTGGGGCATTTTTGGTAGAAGACCCTTCACCTGAGCAAATGACAGTGAGACCAACAGTCTCCAGGTGTCTGTTGTGTGCCAGGCACTGCATGAAGCACTGTAATGAGTTCAGTTACTTAACCTTTGCGAACTTCAGTGAAACTTTACTCCCATGTTACAAAAAGAAAACTGAGACAAAGTCAGAGCTGACGAGTGTGGCAACCAGATTCCAAGCACCCACAGGTGCAGGGACCCTGGGTGGCCGTTCTCCCAGCTCCTTGTCGCCGGGCAGTTCCGAGCCCAGCGTTCCAAACAGGGTGCCTGTGCCGTGTCCTCCGTCTCCTGTCCCTTCCACGGGTACCCCACCTCCTAGTATGTCAGAGTCAAGAGACACTTCCCTCATGAAGGCCCTGCTGTACTGCAAGCTATGTCCTGTTCAAATAGCTGGTCCCTGTCTTCCTGTCACAGGAGCTTTATTTTCTACAGGAGGAGCCGTCCACCTAGAACGTGGGCGATGGGAAGCTGGACGCCGGCCGTGTTTTCCCAGTTGGCCTTTGTCCACTGTTTTTGAGCAAGTGTTCATTTTCCTAAAGGCTAGTTTGATGAACGGAAACCCTGGTCAAGGTCAACATGAAACAAAGGAGATGATTTGATTTGGGGAGAGAAGAAAACCTGGGGTCCAAGCTGATTCTCAGCCTTTCCTCATGGTCAGGCCACACTGCAGACATTGGCCTCCCATCCTAACGCCAGGCCGGAATTGTCCGCCCATCTTCCTGGACAATGTTTTATTACATATGAAATGTGTAAATGAGTCAACCTCACAGCACACGTGTGAGAGGCAGCTCATCCCCAAGCCTGCGAATTTCAGCGGGTGCCGGGGAAATGCTGGGATCATGAATAAATTCCCCAAAACCACCACAGAAAACTAGGAGGTCACTATTAGGACTCATGGAAGGCATGGGGCTTGTTGCTGACTTTTACTCCACCAGAAACAATAAAATTACGTTTTAAAAAGTAACCCAGGTGGCTAAGCAGGCTCTGGTTTCCCCGGGGGGTGTAGAAGCCCCTATGGAGGTCCAGGCAAACCACTCGCCGCCCCAGCACATGAGCCAGCCGCACGGGAGCCTACTTCTTTCTATTTTTCCCCGACCAGAGAAAACTGGGTAAGTTGCAGATCTTTAAAAACTCTGGGAAATGAAGCCAAGCCCTTGTCTTTTCTCCACATAGGAATCCTTCCTCGGGCAAGTCCAACACCTGCCATATGGCCGCCAATCCGTAACCTGCAGACCCATCAGCGGCGCGCCTGGCCGCCCGACCCACGGGGATGTCCGAAGGCTCTCCTGAGAGTGCACTTGTTGCTAAGAACACGTTGAAACGCCTGGTCTACTCGCTCGCCACTCACGTGGAGCCCCCCCCCCACTCGGCCTGGGGGAGCCGACTCCTGTCTGTGGGCCAAGGCCTCTCCCACCCACCACGGTCCTCACCACCCCCACCGCCCACGTCTGACTTGATCTTTCAGTCGCCTGTCTGGGCACTGGGGGTATTTGACAGGTGACCCTTAGTGTAACGTACCTACCTGTGTGGGAAAAGGGGGGCACTGGAGAGCTTGCGGTTCAAATCCCCGGGCTACTGCTAGAAGCTCTTATTCCCTTAATCTCATTAAGCCCCTTTTCCCTCCAATCTAAAATAGATTTACTAACAGTACTTAACTCAGAGTGTTACCAAGTAATTAACTGAGATAATCCGTGAAAGAATTAGGCTTGAAGTTCAGTAATAATCGGTTATTGCTCTTTTTATTAGGAACAGTGGGCGGTTAGTAAAAGTAGGTCACAGCCACCATGTGAAGCACTCGGGGCTGGACAGGGACCAGAACAGCAGAGGCGAAGGGGCAGAGGGGAGAAGGGGAGAGACGCCTTCTGGGGGACTTCCGGACAGCATGTCTCCCAGACAGAAGCACCCCCAGGGACAGCCCCAGGGAAAGGTCCACTCCGCTGGGTCAGGAGCAGCCTAGGACCACTCATGGGTTTGTCTTCCCACGTGATCTGCCCGTGTCGCTGAAACGCGGTGAAATACTGAACTCGGGTTTGGTAATTGCACCATCTTACCCAGGCCTGAGTTGAGGATCCGTGATGCCCCCCCTCAGGCCACCTTCGAGGTGTTCACTGCGCCCCACTGTATCCATCCCTCGGGCACCACCCTCATCTAGGCCCTCAGAACCCTGTGAAAAGTTTACTGATTAACCTCCTTGCCTTCAGTTTGCCACCAGCTTCAATCCCCGTGGCAAACTGTCTCAGCGCTAACAAGCGGCTCTAACATGTATTTCATGCGTCCCCATGTTTGTAACCGGTTGTCCTCCTCTCCACTGTCTGCAGAATAAAATCTAAGCTCTCCCCCCATCACTGGAGCTCAATGTGGCAACGGGGGAACCTGTCCATGCTTCAGCGCTCCGCGCCCCCCCCACACATTCTCATCCACGTCCAACTCAGCCGAGTCCCGCACAGACACCTCGCTGAAGCCACCAAGTAGCTGTGTCCCTGTGTTACACCGGGACACGGAAACCTGTTCCCTAGAGGGCCAAAGAGTAAGTACATCAGGATGCCAGGCAGACCAGGCCGTGCCAACGACTCACCCCACCCCCGGGCACCAAGCAGCAGCGAGGAGACAGCATGTGCAGAAACGGGTGGGCCGCTTTCCAATAAAACTTTATTACGGGTGCAAACGTCACGTAATGTTCACGGGTCACGTGATACCATTCTTCTGATGCTTCCCAACCATTTAAAAACTTAAAGCACATTCTCAGTTTGTGGACGGTACAGAAACAAGCGAGGCCACGGGTCCCTGTTTCTCGGACCCACAGCTTCCCTCTGCACCTTTCCCTCGAGGAATAACTTATGCTCAGCAACCTCCAGGGCTCCGATCTTAAGTGAACTGTCCACTGAGTTTTGACATATGTATACAAACATATTATCAGCACACAGAGCAAGATACGAGACATTTCCAATACCTTAGAAAGCTTGTAAAAAACGCCCTACCAAAGTCTGCCCTCTTTTTGTTTTAAAACCATTTCTCCTTTCAATAGGCCTGCAGTAGAGAAATGCCGGCAACGGGAATGGACCACCTAAATTTACAGTCGTGTAGCTTTCAATGAACCTTCCGATACTGTTCACCATCATGACCACGCAGAACATATGTGTGAGAGACATGGGGACAGCTGATCAGAAACTCCAAAGGCCACTCTGAACCGCCCCTTCATTCCCCGGCGTCTCCGCCAGCATGTCCTTACCTGGGCCAAGGTGAGCGTGGTTTGCTGGCAGGAGCTGCAGCGCACTCTGAGTTTTCCTGGCTGCACTCCTTGGCAGGGGCCTTTGCAGTAGACGTAAAAGCTGTTGTAGGCTGGTCTGCCTGCTGTGGAAACAAAAAAGCAAAGGAAAGAGCCCATCAATGCAGAGCCGAATTGAGACAAACCTTAGAACCAGCTCCTCGAAATGGCCCCGCGACGAAGCCCAGTCAGCGACCTGCTGCCAGGAGAGCCGGCCAACGAGATGGAGCTGTTGCTGCTGAAAGTTTAAGGGGACGGGGGGTGTAGGGACCACGGGGACTTAGGAGGCCAGCCCTCCGGAATTCCATCTCATGCTCCCGAGCACAGCTTTGACACCAGGACGCATGCCACCCAAATAACACATGGTCAAGACTCAACGCTGGGCAATCAAACAGCAGTAACTAAATGTCTCTGGTCATTTCTGTCAACGGTTGCCACCCAGAAACAGTATTATTCCCCAAATGGGGGGCCTTGTACAGGGGTTCACACTTCTATGTCTGCAAAGAGCTAACTTTACAGAAGTACTTACCAGTGAAATAACCTCCTTTAAATTTCTAAAATTACTAAATGCTTCTCTTAATCCTTAACCTGCTTCTTGCTGGGTAGGAGTCACATAAGGTCATACACAAAATTTTATGTAAAAGTTTGCTATTACCATCAAGAGCATCTAGAAATAACATATAGTATTTTTTATCATTACGAGTGAAAACCTTTAGGCTCCCAAATGCATATGGTTTACTGAAAACAATTAGTATAAAAATCATGAGAAAACAAACAAAAAGATCCTAAAGCCTCATGAAGCTCCATCTGTTCCGTTAACTTACAGAATGACCCTTTGTAGGCATATTGAATGGTCATTTGTTCAGGCATCTTTATTAATATTATAGGTGACAATACTTCGTAAAATGTAAAGCACAATAAAGATGTCAAGTTGCATATTTTTATCACGTATTGGCAACATTTTATAATCATTAGTCCCCAGGGATTAATATTTGGCTTCCAGTTTTCATTGAGAAAGGGCAGGTTATACATATATCTTTGTATGATAAGAAACTATCATATTCTGACCCCTTTTTTGGTAACTTTAGTGCCTTAACGTGCAAGATATTCAAGTCGATGAATATCCCATTGTTATTAGCAATCTAATAATCACATGAACCATATTCTTAAGGTTTCATACATATCAGAAACGTAACAGATACAACCATATATTGAAGTTATAGAAATACAGCGATAACTGACGGACTATCACAAGATCACAAGAACGGTGACAATTTTAATGTTCGATTAAGTCGAGCTTAGTGAAGGAGGCAGAAGCCTTATTGTTAAACACTTTATCAGCAATATGAACAAATCCAATTTCATGATTTTTATAACCCACTGTAAAGGTTAAACGATTTTTGAAAGGAGGGAGGAAAGGGATGGGTGAAGGAAACGCTCGCGAAGGGGAGCCACGCTGCAGACACCATCTTGTCGAAAGAGCACGTCCCCCAGCTTCACAGCAGGGCCGGGAGCATCTCAGCAACTGCAGGCAACTAAGTGGCTCCTCAATCCCCTGGGGCAACAGCAGCGTTTGCGATACTAAGGATACCCCGGGCAGGATCGGAACCCTCCCACCTCCCTGGGCTGCGGCCTTCGCTCAAGTCCTTGAGAGGCCAGTGGGAAAATACTGCAGGCCGGTGCCGAGCCCCCGCAGCCCACGCGGTGACACGCCATCCATCACACAGCGCGTCCCGGGGCGGCCGCCGGCCGGGGATTAATGGCCAGTCTCAGGAAGATCAAGGTCAGGCCAGTCCCGGCTACAGCCAATTCCAGGCTGTTGGCTCTGCTGGGCCAAGCAGTCGGGGCTTCAGGTAAACCTTGAATCTGTTTTCTCCCCCAGAGTGGCCTCCCCGCCTAGTTGGCTGCATCACACTGTTTAAACTTGGCAGGCTTCTGCGTCACGCGGAGCTCCGAGCGCGNCACACAGCGCGTCCCGGGGCGGCCGCCGACTGGGGATTAATGGCCAGTCTCAGGGAGATCAAGGTCAGGCCAGTCCCGGCTACAGCCAATTCCAGGCTGTTGGCTCTGCTGGGCCAAGCAGTCGGGGCTTCAGGTAAACCTTGAATCTGTTTTCTCCCCCAGAGTGGCCTCCCCGCCTAGTTGGCTGCATCACACTGTTTAAACTTGGCAGGCTTCTGCGTCACGCGGAGCTCCGAGCGCGTGGGGCGGGACGGGACCGAGAACGAACGCCCCGACGGCGATCTGAAGGCCTAGGGTACAGACTCCTGCGTACGGAGCCAAGGCGCCCAAGGCAACAGCGAGGCGAGTCTACGATCCAAACACCTTTCCCGTAGGTGTCCGGCTGTCTCCAGTCAGCGGCATGCATCCTGCTCCTTTCACTTCCGTTTGGATCTTAAAACCATTTTCTCTCCCGATCGGCTCTTCCACGGGGCAGCCCCTCGCGACCCCAAATCATCAGAGCAGCTTGTGGTGCAGGTTTCCCTCCTTCTGTTATAATAACTTCTCAAAACTAGAGAAAGATTTCAAAAGCTTTTCAAACTACCTCCTTCAGGGTAATTTACCGACTGTGAACATTAGGCATAGTCAGTGTACCATCTCGTACACAAACACACGTACACTACGGGGAAATATTTTTCACTGAATCATTTGTAATTCAGTTGCAGATATCACAGTGCTCACCCCTAAGTCCTTAAATATCCTGAAAAATGACACCCCCCCAGTAAAACATAGAGCTTTGGGAGGGGTTTGTGCTTCTGCCGTCCAGGTCGCAGACTTCTCCAGTCCTCCGAGCACACCTTACGGGTCACCGCAGGGTGCGCAGGCTGGTCAGAGGCACTGAGCCAGAACCTGGGGGACTCTTTAGCCGGAGGAAAGCAGGTCCCCTCACTGCAGACTCTACGGACCCCTAGGACAGGACTACAGAGCACAGCGCACCCCAGACTTTACCTGCCCTGCCCTCGGCCTTCCTTTCATGGGGCGTTCTGTGAAACTGCAGGTCTCAAAAAACCCACAAAAACAACTGAAGGAAGGGTTCAACCCAGTGTGTGGACTTGCTCTCGACAAGCCGAACCGCTGAGGCTTACACACCCGGCTTTACCCAAGGCTCCCCAAGGGCCTGCTGACGGTCCAACTCTTCCTCCACCCCGAGCCAGCGATAAGCTTACGTAACTATTATTCCGCGAGCCAGGGCCTTAGTCGACTGGTGCAATGATTACACAAAGCAAAGTATGTGCACTTCCTTCTGAGGTGTTTTTTTCTTGACAGAGGTTAAAGGGTCACGGTCGGGACCCTCTGAAGTGTGAGCTGCTGTGCGATCCAGGCACCCACAGAAACGCCCGTTTCCCCAGCGTCACAGTTTCCTCACGGGCTTCAGTTTCCCTCTCCCGCTTCGTCCGGACACCAGGGCCCTCGGCCGAGCCTCCTCTCTTCCTCTCTCTCTCTCTCTCTCTCGGTCCCACAGCTGCCGAAGCCCCGCGTGAAGCCCCTATTTAAAATATTACATATCGTTGGCTTTGCCTTTTTGAACAGCCAGCACGATCTGCACTGCTTTCATTTTTCTCGCATGTATTTTAATAACGAGCCTCAGGCCCGAAGCCATTGTTTAATAAGACAAATGGACACCCTCCCACCTCCCTGGGCTGCGGCCTTCGCTCAAGTCCTTGAGAGGCCAGTGGGAAAATACTGCAGGCCGNGTAAGAAAAATTCTGATTCGGACGGAAACTTCATTAACCTCAGAAGTCTTCATCGCCGCTTGTCCCAGGCGCTCGGGAGTCTAACTGCTGTGGGACTTTGTTTCGGGGTGGCGGGAGACAGTGGGATTCCACCCGTTNAGAAGAAAAATTCTGATTCGGACGGAAACTTCATTAACCTCAGAAGTCTTCATCGCCGCTTGTCCCAGGCGCTCGGGAGTCTAACTGCTGTGGGACTTTGTTTCGGGGTGGCGGGAGACAGTGGGATTCCACCCGTTTATCAGCGACACCCTGCCGGGCTCCCTCGGGTCTCTGAGACGGGAGCCTCGGCCAGTCTTTCCCCCGACATCTGCCAGAGCTCTTGCTGCCGTATTTCTGGGGGTGGGGGGGGGGTCATCCTCCCGCTGTGCTTGATGACATTTGCCGGAATATACGCCTCATGGTTCAGGTGGGCAACAGACACAGACCAAACGAACACAGTCAGTATCAGGTTTTCAGCACAACCGATTTTCCTTCTGCGGACCTGAAGTGGTCCATTAGTTCCAGCCTGACGGATACGCGTTGCATTGGCCTAAGGCAGTTCCACACGAAATCCATCCACCATGGGCTTCCGGGACCATCCCTTCTGCATGGCACCTTGCTGTGGATCATCAAAAGGACATGTCCCTCCAACGTGATGTAAATTTCTGAATAAAAATTCTGCCTCCTAGTTACCCACTGGTCCTACCTTTTCTACGTGTGGCAACCTCCTGCATGTCACACTGTACCCGGTTTCAGACAGAAACTGCTAGCACGGCTCCTTGATCTCAGTAAACAATAAATGTTTGCTAGGCCAAAAATTCTCCCATGTTTTAAACGATGTGGAAGTTATCAGGTGTGGCAGTGTGAGGGCAGAGTTTATATAAAATACAATGTAGTTCTGACACCAACACTTAGAACTACGCTCCACCGGCCAAGTACACTGGACTAACTTCACACATCCTTCCAAACAAGGGCCTATCATATTAGAAATCAATACCATTGATACTATCTTAGGACCACGATTATTAGTATAATAAATGCAAGAAAACAAAAAGGAAAGAATACTTTTAAAATTTTACAGAGGACCTGGGATAAGGACGTGTTGAGTGGAAAGCTGAATTCTGAAAGCTCCCGGTAGAGCTACTCGCCCTGCACGGGCGCTGATTTCAATGCTCGCCCAGCGGCCGCTGCCCCCCGCCTGACCCAGCTGCACCGTCCAGGACTTGAACAAGCCCCAGCCTTCGCCCCGGCCGAGTAGCCCAGGTGACGCTGCACCAGAAACACCTTCCAGGCACACGGCCATCTGTCCCGGGTACGCGCTTTCAAACGTACTGAGCCATCCCTAGGGAGCCTCTGCCCTCGGAGGTCGTGAC